TGAGAATGACTTCTCCCTCCTCTGAATGCAGGTTGTACCATCTTCCTGTATGTAACTATATTAAAGCTAAATACATGAGGGTAGGGACTGTCTATCTTGTTTGTTACTGTCTTGGTTTGGGTTCCCACAGAAGCAGACCCTGGGTTAAGCAGACCCTTACGTGCAAGCAATTTATTTGAGAGGCGATCCCAGGAAACACTGATAGGGGAGGAAGACAGGGTAGGGAAGTTAGCCCAAAATGAATCATTACTAAACAAGTTAGCATCATGGGTAAGTGGAACTTAACTCCACTGGAAAACTTAGGAAACAGGGTATTACACACATCTCAGAACTGTCCCACCTGAGGAGTAAGGGAACTTGGGTATTTATATGACAGTTTCCATTAGTCATTGGTTTAGGGCTGCCTCCATGTAACATTAATGGTACATCCACATGGAAAAGAATGATCCATAATCCCTACCTCACTTCACACAAAAATATAATGCAACAAGGATCATATGCCTAGCTGTAAAAGTTAGAACCATAAAATTTCTGGAAGAAAATGTGGGAGGATAAGTGTGCAACCTTAGGGTGAGCAAAGTTTTTTTTAGGTAAGACATGGAAAACACTATTAAAACCACCCAAAAAATTAATTAAAAAGTACTTAATCAAAATTAAAAACATCCGTTCTTTACAAAAACATTGTTAAGAAAATGAAAAGGCTAGTAATGGAATGGGAAAATATTTTCATTACATATATCTGACAAAGGACTGGTGCCCAGAATGTATAAAGAACTCCTACAAATCAACAATGTTCAATGATTTGAACAGACACTTCACACATAATGTATACAAATGGCCAATAAGCAAATATCATTCATCACCAGGGAAATGTAAATTAAAATTCCAGTGAGCAACCACTATACATCCACCAGAATGGCTCAAACTAAATACTTAGTAAGGCAAATATCAGCAAGGATGTGGTCACGTCAGCAACTGGAACTCTTATATTTTGCTGATGGGAGTGCAAAGTGGCACAATCACTATGGAGAACTCTTTGGCAGTTTTCTACAAAGTTAAATATACATCTCTCTAAGACCCATAAATTATATTTCTAGGTATTTATTATATATTTTTTGAGATGGAGTCTCGCTCTGTCACCCAGGTTGGAGTGCAATGGTGTGATCTTGGCTCACTGCAACCTCTGCCTCCCAGGTTCAAGTGATTCTCCTGTCTCAGCCTCCCGAGTAACTGGGATTACAGGTGTCCACCACCACGCCCAGCTAATTTTTGTATTTTTAGTAGAGACAGGGTTTCACCATGTTGGCCAGGCTGATCTCGAACTCCTGACCTCAGGTGATCTGCCCGCTTTGGCCTTCCAAAGCACTGGAATTACCAGCGTGAGCTACTGCACCTGGCCCTCTAGGTACTTATTGAAGATAAATGACAACACACATCTACAAAAAAAAAAAAAGAAAGAAAGAAGAAAAAAAGCTTGTACAAAAATGTTCATAACAGCAAAAACAAAAAACTAGAAAGCATCCCAAATGTCCACCAACAGGTGAAAAAAAGCAAACTGTGAGGTAGTCATATAATGGAATGCTATTTAGCACTAAAAAGGAATGAATTATTGTCACATGCAACAACATGGATGGAGCTAAAAAAACAAAATTACACTGAATGAAATAAGCATATATAAAAGAAAATACTCTGTGTGATTTCGTGTATATAAAGTCCGGGAACAGGAGAGCTAAGGTGATAAATCGACCAGTGGTTGCCCTTGCAGGACGGTCTGATTTGAGTAATGGAAAGGAGGCACTCACAAGGGAACCTGGTGGTTTTGAAAGTGTTCTATATTTTGTTTTGGATGGTGGCTACATGAATTTACATAGGTGTCAAAACTCACCTAATTGGATATGTGAGATCTGTGCTTTTTATTATCTAAAATTATACCTTAATAAAGATTACAGCTTTACCTTTTAAAAAGAAAATACATTAGCCATTAACAATAGTGGGTAATTTGCTCAGTGTTCTACCCTCTACTAGATTGTGAGCTTCAAGACAGCAGAAGCGCCATTTGTTTTGCTCTCTACTATATGCTCAGCACCTAGCATAGCACCTGGGATCTCCTGAGTGCTCAAGTCATATTTGTTAATATTATAAGTTTGTGAGAGCCTCTGTGCATTGAGCTGTGGCTTTATCATATCTCCCTTTGCAGACATGATCTGTTCTTGGCAGACGCTGGTGGCCCCAGAAGCTCAAGCACAGGTGCATTGTCTAGGAAGGGAGCTTGCAGGTGGGAACCCAGCAGGGCCCTGGGTGTCCTTGGGCACTGACAGGGTCCCAACTGTGAGCACCATCTGCTCCTGCAAAGCGTGTCTGACAGCAGCCGCAACCCTGGACCTGGAAGGTGAGTACCTCTGAGACCCAATGTCAGGCTCCCATTCCCATCCTCTCTGCCTGTAGGGAGTCCACAGAAAGTCACTTTAACCCTGGAAATAGAAAGCACCAACATATGTACCATTTTGTAATTTACCAAGTGTTTTCCCACATATGTTCTTATTTTATCTTCTCGATGACCCTGTAAAGTAGTTGTTTAATAACACTATTTTACAGAGAGGTTAACTGACTTCAACAAGGTCACACAGCTGGGAACTGACAAACCTGGGATTCAAACCAAGTTTTTAACCATTTATTCCTATATTAAATGCAGTATTGCTGTGTCATTTATGGACCTTCAGAAGCTATTTCTGAAACCCCACCCCTTTGGTAAGCTTTACTAGACTGCTGGAAAGATAAGTAGTGGACCCTTCTTGCCTTTAATCCAATGTATCCCATATGCTTCTGAGATATTAACCTACCTGGACCACTACTAGGATGGAGTCATTCTCCGATGCAAATTTTTCATATTCCTCATCACCTACCAAGTAAAATTCACATTCCTTAGCTGCTGTTCAATACTCTTTTGTCCCAGCTCACCTCTGTAGCCTCATTTTCCTTAAAAAACAACTTTGCATTCTAGCTAGTCATGTCATTATCCTCATTTCCACAACTTTACTCCTCAACTTCTCCTTCACATGGAACAACAGTTCCTGCCATCTTCCCTTGGGAAATTTTTCTCACCCTTCAAGTCCTAACTCGAATACCACTGCCACTCCCTATTGGGAAGATTTTTACTTCATTTGAACCCTGAGAGCACATGGTTTGTACCTTTCCGGTGGCATTAACTGTCAGGTGTCATGGGTATATTTGCACCTTGTTTGTCTTCCTTATTAGATCCTGTGGTCCCAGAAGGTTAGATACATGGCTTATCCGTTTCTGTAGCCCCTATGGTGACTAGCATAGCTGTTTGCACACTGTAGATATTTAATTGATGCTTTGTAGAGTGAATAAATTACCACCTATCCAACCATTGTCTATGAATTGAATATCCTTTGGTATACATAGCTTTAAACATTGTTTGTGTTTTAATTCTATTTTATGTATTTGGTTAGCATAGTCTCTACCCTCTGTATACTTTGCTTCTAACTTGACATAGATTGCATGAATATATAAATTCTTTGCAAATGAGGTGGACACATGGATATTGTGGAATCCACAGCTCTACTCTGGCTCTGTCGTTCACTGATTGTGTAACCTTGGACAAACCACATCTACTCTCTGGATTATTTTATTTTATGAGACAGAGTCTTACTCTGCAGCCCAAGCTGGAGTGCAGTGCGACAATCTCGGCTCACTACAACCTCCGCCTCTGGGGCTCAAGCAATTCTTGTGCCTCAGCCTACCGAGTAGCTGGAGTTACAAGCGTGCGCCACCACGCCCGGCTAAGTTTTTGTATTTTAGTAGAGACGGGGTTCACCATGTTGCCCAGGGTGGTCTCGAACTCCTGAGCTCAGGCAATCCGCCCGCCTCGGCGTCCCAAAGTGCTGGGATTACAGGGGTGAGCCACTGTGCCGGGTCACTGGACCTTATTTTGCCTCCAACTATTAGATAGGGGTAATAATCCCCATTTTGCTTCTTTAATTCACCACAAGGTTGTTGGGAGGATAAAGGAAATAACAGATGTGTAAGTGCTTTGCCGCCTATAAATCACCCAGAAATGTCATTTCATTGCATCTGCTGTTGGATGTAGGCACATCTTTTGCTGCTGGCAGCCCCCACCCATCTGCTCCTCTCTTTCGGTGAAAAATTGACTGTCGGGTGGCAGGGAACGTCGAAGAGCGGCAGGATGGATGATGAGGAAGTAACCGAGTCTCCTGAATGGCGTGTGGAACTGGGGCTTTGTTGTGGTGGGTGTGAGGTGAAGTGGGGACACTGTCTTCTGAAAGGCCGCTCTGAGGAAGGGAAACGCGTGTGTCCAGGCAGCCTCAACTACCAGCCTAGTCCCAGTGTGTAGGTTACAGGGAGTCAGCCAGTTTGGGAAACTTCTCAGACTCAGAGCTGCAGAAGTTGACATGGGCTGCCCGAGGGAAGGTGTGGGCCCGAATGCTGTGCAAGCGCGACTTCAACTTCCACTAATAAGAGTCACGACCGCCCTACAATGTAGAAGTGATGGCCGGGCGCGGTGGCTCAAGCCTGTAATCCCAGCACTTTGGGAGCCCGAGAGGGGCGGATCACGAGGTCAGGAGATCGAGACCATCCTGGTGAACACGGTGAAACCCCGTCTCTACTAAAAAAATACAAAAAACTAGCCGGGCGAGGTGGCGGGCGCCTGTAGTCCCAGCTACTCAGGAGGCTGAGGCAGGAGAATGGCGTAAACCCGGGAGGCGGAGCTTGTAGTGAGCTGAAATCGCGCCACTGCACTCCAGCCTGGGCGACAGAGCGAGACTCCCGTCTCAAAAAAAAAAAAAAAAAAAAAAGAAGTGATCATCTCGGTGCCCAAGGTCAAGAGAGACCCCCTAGGCCCGGAAATGCCCTAGGTTGGAATCTTCGGAGCCTGCCAATTGGCTTCCACTGAACGGGAGGGTGGGCCTTGGGGCGTTCTGCTTACTGATTGGTTGGATACCAGATTGGCAGGTCCCCGCCGGCTGTGCGTGTGGTGAGGGCGGACATGGCGGAGGCAGGAAAAGTACCCTTGAGCCTCGGGCTTACGGGAGGAGAAGCGACAGAGTGGCCTCTGCAGCGGTACGCCCGCTGCATACCCTCAAACACCAGAGACCCACCTGGGCCAAGCCAGGAAGCTGGGACAGCCCCTTGCCCCACATGGAAGGTGAGGCCCAAAGGCGGGAATATTCCTGAGGCGCCCACAGCCCTGAGGAGGGGAGGCTCTACATATATACGGGGCCAGTGCCCTGAAGCGATGCCGAAGGGACACCAAGCGACTACCAGGCATGTTGGGGAATGGCCAGGCTGACAACTAAGATAGAAAATACATACATAGCAGTAGGAGACATGGTTGGAACCTTTACAGTCTCAAAATAATTATGCAAGGGAGTAGTAAACATTCATATATTCATGTGTATTTATTGAGCGTCAAGTATGTGCTAGACTCTATTCGGGGTGCTAGGGATGGAGCAGTGAGCAAGATATACACGCTCCCCACCCTTATTGATGTTTTTAGTTTAGTGGAGAATACACTATTTATCCAAATAATTAATTACAGAAGGGACAACTGAGTCATCCCGTAACCAAGCACTCACACAGGTCTAGATTTGAATCCTCGCGTTGCCAGTGAATTTCTGTGACCTTGCTTTAGTTACTTAACCTCTCTATGCCTTATTCACTTTGTCTTAAAATAGAGATAATAATATAATAGTACAGGCCCTCAGAAATACTGGTGTTCGGTTCCAGATCATCACAATAAAGCAAGTTACGAACTTTCTGGCTTCTCAGTGCATATAAAACCTATGTTTGCACTATACTGTAGTCTATTAACTTGTCTAAAAGAATTATGTCTAAAAGGAAAATGTATATACCTTGATTCGAGAATACTTTATTGCTAAAAAATGTTAACACTCACCTGAGCCTTCAGCAGGTCAGTCTTTTTGCCGCTGGAGGGTCTCGCTTCATGCTGGTGGCTGCTGACTGATCAGAGTGGTGGTTTCCCAAGGTTGGGGTTGCTGTGGCAATTTCTTAAAATAAGACAACAATTCAGTTCGTCACATGGATTGCCTCTTCCTTTCAGGAAAGATTGCTCTGTAGCATGCAATGCTGTTTAATGGCATTTTTACCCACAGTAGAACTTCTTTCAAAATTGGAGTTAATCCTCTCAAATTTTGCTGCTGCTTTATCAACTAAGTTTATGTGATATTCTAAATACTTCGCTGTCATTTCAGCAATGTTCACACCATTTTCACCATGAGTAGATTCCATCTTAGGAAACCACTTTCTTTGCTCATCCATAAAAAGCAACTCCTCATCTCTTCAAGTTTTATCATAAGATTATAGCAATTCAGTCCCATCTTCAGGCTTCACTTCCAATTCTAGTTCTCTTGCTCTTTCTACACATCTGCAGTTCCTGCCTCCGCTGAAATCTTGAACCCCTCAAAAGTCATGCGTGAGGGCTGGAATCAACTTCTTCCAAATTCCTGTTAATGTTGATATGTTGACCTCCTCCCATGAATCACAAATGTTCTTAATGGTATCTAGAATGGTGAATCCTTTTCAGATGTTTTCAATTAACTGCCCAGATCCATCAGAGGAATCACTAGCTATAGAAGCTATAGCCTTATAAAATGTATTTCTTAAATAATAAGACTTAAAAGCTGACAATTACTCCTTGATCATGGGTTGCAGAATGAATGTTGTGTTAGCAGGCATGAAAACAACATTCATCTCTTTGTACATCTCTATCCAAGCTCTTGGGTGACCAGGTGCCTTGTTAATGAACAGTAATATTTTGACAGGAATCTTTTTTTCTGAGCAGTTGGTCTCAACAGTGGGCTTAAAATATTCAGTAAACCATGCTATAAACAATTGTGCTATCATCCAGACTTTGTTGTTCTATTTATAGAGCATAGGCAGAGTAGATTTAGCACAGTTCCTAAGGGCCCTAGGACTTTCAGAATGGTAAATGAGCATTGGCTTCAATTTAGAGTCTCCAGTGGGATTAGCCCCTAATGCAAGAGTCAGCCTGCCCTTTGAAACCTTGAAGCCAGGCATTGACTTCTCCTCTTTAGCTATGAACGTCCTAGATGGCCTCTTCTTCTTCTAAGAGAAGGCTGTTTTGAATATGTTAAAAAATCAGATCAGGCTTTGGCTTAAGGGAATGTTGTGACTGGTTTGATCTTCTATGCAGACCATTACAACTTTTTCCATTTCAGAAATAAGGCTGTTCCACTTACGATTCCTGTGTTCACTGGAATAGCATTTTCAATTTCCTTTAAGAACTTTTCCTTTGCATTTACAACCTGGCTAACTGGCATAAGAGGTCTAGCTTTTGACTTATCTTGGCTTTCAACATACCTTCCTTGCTAAGCTTAATCATTTCTAGCTTTTGATTTTAAATGAGTGATGTGTGATTTTTCCTTTCACCTTAACACTTTGAGGCCATTGTAGGGTTATTAATTGACTGGATTTCAATATTGTTACATCTCAGAATAGTGAGGACCAGGGAGAGGGAGAGAGACAGAGCAAAGGCTGGTGGATGGAGCAGTTGGAATATACATATCATTTATTGATTAAGTTCACTATCTTCTATGGGCATGGTTTGTGGCACTCCAGAACAACTGCAATAGTAACATCAGTACAATAGTAACAATGGTGATCACAGATCACCATCAGATATAATAATAATGAAAAAGCTTGAAATATTGTGAAAATTACCAAAATATGATACAGAGACATGAAGTGAACACATGCTGTTAGAAAAATGGCACTGAGAGACTTGATTGATGTGGGGTTGCCACAAACCTTCAATTTGTAAAAAATGTAATATCTGTGAAGTGCAATAAAGCAAAGTACAGTAAAGGGAAGTGTGCCTGTACCTACTTCATAGGATTATTTTGAGCATTGAATAAGCTAATACGTATCAATCACCTAAAATAGTGCCTAGTATGTGTTAAGTTACATAGGAGTTTGCTATTATTATTATTTTGTTCTAGTGGTATGTTTTAACACCATGGGTTGCCAGTCATTCAGTTCCCTTTTGTCTGGTTTGACTACTGGATGCGGAATCTGGGATTTTGGATTATACACATACATGTATGTCACATGTGTGCACACATGCATACATGTTTGTGTATTTTGGGCAGCAGTAGGTAGGAGAAGAATTAAAGAGAATAAAGGTCCCAGGTAGCTGGGCGTGATGGCTCAGGCCTGTAATCCAGGCACTTTGGGAGGCTGAGGCGGGTGGATCACCTGAGGTCAGGAGTTTGAGACCAGCCTGGCCAACATGGCAAAACCCCGCCTCTACTAAAAATGCAAAAATTACCCGGGTGTAGTGGTTGGTGCTTGCCTGTAGTCCCAGCTACTCAGGAGGCTGAGGCAGGAGAATCACTTGAACCTGGGAGGTGGAGGTTGCAGTGAGCTGAGATCGTGGCACTGCACTGCAACCTGAGTGACAGAGCAAGACTGTCTCAAAAATAAATAAATAAATAAAATAAAATAAAAATCCCACAACCTGTACAGAGGCCACAACATACCTGAAAAACCTCTGCATGTGTAATGTATAGTGAGAAGGCTAACAAATCTGGTGCTTAGAGAATAAGGGAAATGGTAGCTTGAGATAAGCCTGTCTGAAGAGGTAGGCAGGTGCCTTGTGAACATTATTATAAATCCAGTGGGAAGCCACCGAAGAGTTTTGGGCAGAGGCATTTTCGTCTTTGAAAGATCACTCTGGTTGTGGTGTGAAGATGGAATTGGAGGGGAATATGAGTGGATTCAGAAAGATCATATAGAATGCTATTGCAGTGTTATAGGCAAGAGATGATGATGGCTTAGACTAAGGGCATGGCAGTAGAGATAGGAATATTAGGAATATATTTTGGAGACCAAAATGAAAAGGCTTGGTGCTTGATTGTATATGAGTGGCAAGAGTAAAGGACTTCTGGGTTTCTAGAAGCAACTGAGTAGATGGTTGGAGAATGGGAAACACTGGAGGAGGAACAGTGAGGGAAGAATAATCCAAGATTTCAGTTTTGGATGTATTGAATTTGATAAGATTGTGAAGCATCCAAGTGGAGATATTGGATAGATAGTTGGGTATATTGGCCTAGACTCAGAAGGAAGATCTGGGCTGGAAATGTAAAGGTGCAAGTCATCAGCATAAAAGTGATATTTATAGTCATGGGATTAGGTGAGATTCGTGACCAAGCTTAAAGGTAATCCAACATTTGTAAGTTGGGTAGAGGGGACAGAGCCCCAGAGAAGATTGACAAGAGGCCTGGCACAGTGGCTCATCCCTGTAATCCCAGCGCTTTGGGAGGCCAAGATGGGTGGATCACTTGAGGTCAGGAGGTCAGATCAGCCTGGCCAACATGGTGAAACCCGAGGTTACTTGGGAGGCTGAGGCAGGAGAATCCCTTGAACCCAGGAGACAGAGGTTGCAGTGAGCCAGGATTGTGCCACTGCACTCCAGCCTGGGCAACAGAGTGAGACTCCATCTCAAAATAAATAAATAAATAAATAAATAAATAGGAAAAAACAATAACAAGATGGCTGAATAGGAGGAACAGCTCCAATCTGCAGCTCCCAGAAAGATCAACTCAGAAGGCGGGTGATTTCTGCATTTCCAACTGAGGTACCTGGTTTATCTCATTGGGACTGGTTGGACAGAGGATGCAGCCCATGGAGGGCGAGCCAAATCAGGGTGGGGCATCGCCTTACCTGGGAAGCACACAGGTTCGGGGTATCTCCCTCCGCCAACCAAGGGAAGCTGTGAGAGACTGTACTGGGAGGAATGGTGCACTCTGGCCCAGATACTGCACTTTTCCCATGGTCTTCGCAACCAACAGACGAGAAGATTCCCTCTGGCGTCTACCCCACCAAGGGCCCTGGGTTTCAAGCACAAAACTGGGTGGCTATTTGGGCAGACACCGAGTTAGCTGCAGGAGTGGTTTTTTTTGTTGTTGTTGTTGTTTTTCATACGCTAGTAGCACCTGGAAAGCCAGTGAGACAGAACTGTTCACTCCCCTGGAAAGGGGCCTTAAGCCAGGGAGCCAAGGGGTATGGCTCAGCGGGTCCCACCCCCATGGAGCCAGCAAGCTAAGATCCACTGGCTTGAAATTCTCACTGCTAGCACAGCAGTCTGAGGTTGACCTGGGATGCTCC